CATGAAATGTGTACATTCTTCTAAGTCTCTTAAAATCCAGAAAAGGAAGAATGGGAGGAAAGAACTAAAGCAATCTGAGCCTCTTGTTAACAAATCTAGATGAATTTCTTGCAAAATGTGCCTGGCTATGAACTATGTTTTATGGTGTCTAGAGTTGGCAGCCTTTGTACTTAATGCAGCTGAATCAGAAGATGAACTAATCTCAGTGATAACAGCAGTCTACCATTTCCCACAAGATTTTTTCCCCAAATTCCTGTTTTTGCTCTACTCTGGTAGTGGATTAAAAAAATACAAGAAACCACCCTCGAAACTAAGATATTTCTGGCAAAGCCTCCACGGCTGAATTTGGATGGAATGAGCCAACAGATGTGATTCATGTTTCTTGTTTTGAAGTTGACCTGTGGGAACCTGGCACTTTGTTTGCAGCACAGATGAACCCTTATGGAATAGTGAAGCATCAGCAATGCAAAACCACTGATGGGGTAAATTGGCAGGAATTTGGGGAGGGTGATATATTTGCCCCTGCGGCTGCCAGTCTCCACAAGAGCCTGGCAGTCACAATCCTATCAGCCATCAGTCCATCAGCCTGTGTTTTTTAAACCCTGTGGACAGCCAAGAAACCTCACACCCACCTTCTTCTGAGCCCCAAAGCTGGTGTGTGGCTCCTTAGCAAAAAACCCCTTCCATGAGGGATGGCTTCTGGGAAGCCAAAATGATACCTCTCTGAGGGGATAGCACAGCTCCAGTGACCGGGATCTCCTTGCTGGTGAGATTTAGACAAGATTAATGCTGGTTACAGTCAGTTGTAAAAGAACCTCTTCTGGTTCTGCTATTCATCCATAGCCTGTGGGAGGGATCCTGTGAGCCCTCACTATCATAAGGAAATTCCCTGCATATTCCCCGTGCTGGGAAAACACTTCCATGGAGCCACAGAGTTTTAAACCACACTCAGATGAATAGAAATAAAGCAGACTGCTTGGCAAGCCAGCAAATTTACCCTTCACACAGAGAGGCCCTGAGTTTCTACCCCCAGGATGTCTTTGTAGGTAGGTACAAAGCAGCACCAGTTCCCCTGAGAGTGAAACACTGTCCTCTGAACTCTGCTGAGAGCTGCTTTGTGGTACACTGCATTTGAGCAAGAACAAGAGTTTGGCTTCCACCAAGAGAGAAGGGAGAATAACACAAAGAGAAAGCCTTGACTGACAACAGCAAAACAACCTGGAGACCCCAAGACCTTGTCCTGTTGGAACAAGCATTAGAGACTTCAAACTGTATGAGGCAACTTCAGCAGTATTTCCAGCAGCCACAACACATCTCTCAAAGCAGATATTTGCTGGTAGCTTATGATAAGAAAGTCTCAGGGGTATTTATCCCTTCCTGCACCAGTTAGGTAACAAATTGGTGCCTGGTATTTTTCAGCTCAGAGATCATCATCAGGAATCCTGATAGCTTTTCTTTTTTTATGAGGGTTGGTGCTTTGAGGTTGTTTTTCTGCCTGGCTTGAGCTGAGCCATGCAACTCTAATTCTTTATGCCAGCTGGCTTTGCATGGCAGTGGGTCCCACAGTCCTCCTGCCCCAGGTCCTAGCTGGCTGCAAACAGCCTCAGTGTGTGCACTGCAAATTGAATTTCAGCCCACATTCCTGAAGCCACCAACTCCTTAAGAGGCACTTCTGAACATCTGTGCACTGCTGTGTGACAGCAGGGACAGAGGGCAGCTCCTCAGCTGTCTGAGCAGCCTCCCCTCCTGCCAAGGGGGCCACCAGAGGAGGCTCCCCAGACCACCTGTACCTGCCCTGCCTGCAGGCTTCTGCCTTGTGTCCAGGCCTGCCCTGCCTGCAAGACCTGGCAGCAGACCTGAGCTGCAGCTTCATAGGCAGAGAGCAAACAGACAGTCTGTTTAAAGGCAATGTTGGAAAGCAGATGGAAAACTGCACAGCATCTGCCTCCTGCATCCTCAGCACTGCAACGGGCAAAGAGGCTGCTGGGACACACAGGTAGAGATGGGATGTGGGTAGTGGTGCCCTGACAGGGAACAGGGCTAACCCAGGGCCAACTCTGAGTGCAAGTGTGAGGGCTCAGCAGGAGGCCAGCCAGTAGGGTGCACCATGGCATCACTGCCTGCTCACCCACAGCAAAAAGGCAGGCAGCTTTTTCTGCTGGCACAGCACCAAGAGCAGCCAGGCAGCTCCAAGGAGTTGGCAATCAAGAATGATGTCTTTTTCCAACAGTCCTGAGTATCCCCAATAGTCCTGCCCACATAAAACCCACTCCAGAAAGGACCAGCTGGAGCCCTCCATCTGCCAAGTGCAGGTAGAGCAAGGGTTCTTTCCATCCTTTCAAACTCTTCTGAACTGTGTCTTCCTTTGCCCTCCAGCAGGAAGTTCTGGCTGCTGCAGAAATACTTTTTTCTGCATGGCTTCATGATTTTTGTACAAAACACAGACATCACAGCTGAGAGGTGTGGGAAACAACCAAGGACATGGTCAAGGCAAATTCTGTAGGGCTGAGAAAATGCTCATTCCTTTTGCTATTTAACATCAAAGATCCAACAGGATGTGCAAAACAAGTCTTCCCTCTCCAGCTCCACTTGAACAAAAAAAAAAAATTAAAATCCCAAGAGCAATTAAACACAGTTAGGACCCACTGCTGGATGTTTCTGGATCTATTCTTAGATGCTATCTTGAAAGGCTGTTTTCTCTTGGACCGAAAGGACCTGCAAGGGCATGCAGACACCTCAGAGCCCATCTACCACAAGCAGGAAGCCCAAGTGCCCTGCCACCCAAGTGCAAAAACTGTCCCAAAAATAACTGATCCTGCCTGTTGGTGGTCCCCCTGTGCTGGATCCCACCTAGATAGTGCCTTAAGGAGATTGAATCTGTTTGTGGTGGGAAATGGCAAAAATCAGAACTCCCACTATTTGACTACCACAGTATTCAGGTCCTTCTAGAAACCTAGAAAAGTGACATCTCCTATCTGGAAAGATACTGGAGAAAGTTGTATTCTGTCAGGCCGATGGGATGGATGTTCTCGCCTGTCAGTGTTTCAAAATCCATGTGAAGATTACAACTCCCCGCCCTTCCCACCCAATGCTCCTAACTGCCTGGAGGCCCTGAGGGATACAGAAATACTTCCAGATGTCTAGCACGGTTGTGGGATGAGTTCCTGCCTCTGCTGCAAGCCACAAGGCAGCACATATCACCAGAAGGCCCATGGAACAAGGAAGGTTCATGCAGCTCAGGGAAATCTCTAGAGGGTCAGTTGTGGCACCACTGCTGAGCAGCCCACGTCCATCCTGCTCCCTTCCCTGAGATGCTGGCTCAGAGCTCTCCCAGCAGCAGGAGCCAAAAGAATAGGTCCCCCTGAATGGTGGAGGACAAGACATTTTGCTAGTTGCTCTGCACCACATGCTCCAGAGAAATTCTTAAGCAGGTAACAGCCCACAAAGGTGTCTTGCTGCAGATCTGCACACCTGAAGAGACCTTCTCCAAGGAAAGGATGCAGTTTGCACATGGAATGGCTGTCCCACTCTGATACCCTTCTTCAGCAAAGCTGCTGCCGTGAGGATCAGAGGACAGAAAAGGTCTTGTGGAACCTGTTGGAGGCTTGCAGGTCAGTGGCCTTCCACACCCCCTGCCAGTGGCTCATGTTTGCATCGACCTCATCAAACTGTCTCCATAGTCTGAAGCAAAGCCCCACCAGGTTGAACCACCATTGAGTCTGGGAGTTGGGATAGTATCTTACAAGTATCAATACCTGTTTTGCAATGAACTCCCATATTACTTTGGGCAAGACAAGTGAGAACACAGCCTTCTTCTCAAGCACACACCTGAAGCATGACATCGTTCAGACCCACCTGCTCACTTGTCTGGGCTGGCAGAGCCAAGAAGCAATACGCAGTTTAGAACTCCTGAAGGCCACTGGGCAGGAAAGGCTCCTTCCAAATACTAGACAGAGGCACGGACTGAGGCCATTCTCCTCTCATTCCACATTACCCTGAAGGCTGAAATTCCTTCACTCCAAAGAGTTAATACTGTACCACACTGTTTATGGCTAATATGTAAGCCTAATGCTTTGGACAAGGTTTGTGAAAAGCCACACAGGGCATTTAATGGGCAACATCAAAGTGCATAACCCAATCCCCACCCAGCCTTTCGTGCTTGCCTTGGGAGTTTCAGAAACTTTTTTTTTGCAAACATACTTGGCCTCAGTTATGAGAAGCAAGAGAAGGAGGAGGTGGAGGTTGTGACCCGCACATACTGTGTTTATGAGAACACTCCTCCACCAAAACAGCACTGGCGCTGCTATCCTGTCCTTGAGATGTTTAGTATATGGTTTACATGCTATGTCTTACCCCTCCCTCCTGCCCAGCAAAAATCACTCTCAGAGGCCAGAATTTCTAGTAGAGGCTCCACAGCAGAATAATTTCTTCCTTGAGCACTATCCCTAAGAAAAAAAACTTGGGATGAATCAAGCTCCTGGTCAGAAACGCTGCAAGTGCAAACTGCTACCTACAGCTCACAGGAAAGTCACTGATTGTTTTCATTTCGAACCAAAGCAAGTCAGTGAATGCTGGCTCTGAATTTCTGTGGCTTTCACATCCATTTAATCATTTCCTTTCCTCTCTGCTTGCAACCATCCTGGGCAGAACACTCCCCTGGATAGCTCACCCTCACAGCGGCCCAAATTGCAAACTTCTGACAAAGTACGAAAAGTGAGGGCGCGTAGTTCCAGCACCGCTGGAAGCCAACAGTGAGTGCCCAATGCTCCTCTGCGTTTCTGGGGCTGGTCCGAAGCGTTGCTCCAAGTTTAGGCAGCGCCATCCGACTGGGACTCTCCGGTCCATTTAAGGTGGGTCTGAAATCCTGTCCATTTTACAAAGAAGCACCCCGATGGGATAAAACGGCAGGAGGAGCCCTCGGGAGGCGCGGCGTTTCCCCCGGGCAGCAGAGCGGACATCCCCGGTCCCGCAGCCCGCCCGCCCCGCTCCCTGCCCCGCACCTTGCTCGCAGGCTCCCTTGCTGCGCTGGCTGATGGCGGGCTCGCCGCGGCTCTGTGCGCGCAGGCTGGCGGCGCGGAGCTGGCAGCCGCTGCCGTAGGTGAGCCCGTCGCTGCCGCACACCGGGTAGCGGCTCTTGCAGAGGCACACGCCGGGCGGGCCGGCGGCGGCGGAGGGAACCGGGCCGCCCTTCGCCTTGCGGCGCTGGCGGCTCTTCACGCACTCGAGGCCGGGGGCGCAGCGTCCCCCCGCAGCTCCGCCGCCGCCGCACGCCTCGCCCTCGCCGCGCCCGCACTGCCAGCAGCAGCCGCAGGCGTCCCGCACCCGGCCCAGCGGGCAGCCCCGAGCCGGCAGCGCCGGGCACCGCGCCGGATCGCAGGGCCCGCAGCCCCCCGCCGCCGCCGTGCCCGGGGCGGGCACCGCCAGCAGCAGCAGCGGCAGGAGCAGCAGCGGCATCGCCGAGGGCGGCATGGCGGCACGGCGCCGCCCGCCCGCGGCAGCCGCTTAAGCCGCGACGGGGAAACCCCTCCCCGGCAGCGCCGCCCCGGCCCCGGGCACGGCCCCGGTCACGGCAGCGGCAGCGGGGCACCGCCGCCATCCCGCGGCCGCCCCGCACTCCGCACCGCCGGCTGGACCCTTGGTGCGCCGTCCCTCCCGGCTGCCCCGCACTCAGCTCCGGCATCGCGTCTGTTCCCTCTTCTTCTTCCAGCAGAAAGGGACGTGTGGGAGCGGGCTGACAGCCGGCTGAACACGAGCCAGCTGTGCCCAGGGGGCCAAGAAGGCCAGTGGCATTCTGGCCTGGGTCATTAAGTGTGGCCAGCTGGATCAGGGATTGTCCCCCTGTACTCGGCACCTGGAGCGCCGTGTTCAGTTCTGGGCCCCTGACTACAAGAAAGACATTGAGGTGCTGGAGCATGTCCAGAGAAGTGTCACAAGGCTCGTGAAAGGTCTACTTAGAACAAGTCTTATGAGGAGGTGCTGAAGGAGCTGTGGTTGTTTAGAAGGTTCAGAGGGCACCTTATCTCTCTCTCTCTCCAACTCCCTGAAAGAAGGCAATATTCAGGTGGGCGGTCTGTCTCTTCTGCCGTGAGAGAATGAGAGTAAAAGACTTTAAGCTGGGGTATAGGAAATTCAGACTAGATATTTGAAACATTTTTCACTGTTAGGGTAGTCAGGCACTGGAATTTGTTGCCCTGGGAGGGGATGGAGTCACCATCCCTGGAGGTGTTTAAAAGGCATCTGGATCTGGTGCTGGGTGATGGTTTAGGGGTTACAGTGGTAGTGCTGGGGGGATGGTTGGACTCGATGATCTGTAAAGTCTCTTCCAACCTTGATGATTCTATGATTCTTGCCACCCACCCATGTTCAGCTCACAGCCACTGGCTGTGAGGGGCTGCAGGGGTGCTGGTGACCCTGAAAGGTGCCTTCAGGAGGGGAGGCAAGGAAGAAAAGGAAAGCTGTCTGGTTTCCCCTGTCCATACTCGGGACAACATTGTTTTCTGCTGCCCTCTTTTACCTTAACTTGTGGCTCCTGCCCTGGAATGGCTCCTGGACAGTCTCCTAGAGTGGGGGACTGCTGCCAACAACAAAAACTGGGAATATTCATCAGGCAGCACTGGGCAATGTTGCTGTCAAAACAGTGTCCTGAAAGTGCCACGCCTAAAGCACCATGATGCTGGTAAACCCCTCAGGCGGGGGCAGCTGGGCGGCACATTCCCTCCCTGTGCCTGCGGGAGCTGCCATCTCCTGCAGGGTGGTCCAGGCCGAGATGATGTTCAGCCTCGGTTCTGCCAGGGCCTGTGCAGTGGCTGCTGCGTTGGCACTCTGGGGAGAGAGGACAGAGGTAGTTGTTGTCCCATGCTGTGATGCTGAGGGATTTGGCACTGACAGGTTTGGGTTGTCTGTGGCTGAGCCCTGAAGAGTAGCCCCCCAGGTCAGCATGTCCCTTCCCATGGAGAGAGCAGCTGGAGCTGTGACTCAGGCCAGCTGGGAGGGGCTGCAAGTTCCCCATGCTCCCAAATCTGCTCCGGAGGCATTGACCCACTCATGCCTGTTCAGCTGCTGACACTGTGGGAACTGGCTCCCACCACATGCTTCCTTGACTCCCTGGGGCTCAGCATGAGACATTCCTCCATTTCTCCTTGGGACCGTGGTATCTGCATACATGTCCTTGGATTTCTCCATTCCTCTCACTCTGGAAGTGCTCTGTGCTGTTCTCCTGGGAGAAGGGCTACCCTCATAAGCAAGCACTACCCCAGACTCGAGGATCTTTACACATTTTGGTTGTTGTTGTGCTGTGTTTTGCTTTGGTTTGGGTTTTATGGGCAATTCACTAGAGGAGCGATGGAAAGGGGTGAAATGTACAGGTGGACACATCTGACAGGTCTAGCTGCAAAAAACATTTTGCACAGTTCACCTCTTTTCGCTGTCTCCTGCCAGTTGCTACGCATCTCCCTCACAGGCCCCTAGATTCCTGTTCATCAGAGTATCACGAGCCCAAATACTCTTGGCAGAAAACCACAGGGAGTTTAATGAACCTGCTGTAGCTTACCAGAGCGAGCCTTTCTGACATGAAATCACTGTCAGCAGTCCACTTGGTGGGAGGAAGAATGTCATTCTGAAAGGAGGACATCAACATGTTTCCTTTCCTTTCTTCCCCTCGAATCTCTTTCTTTCCATGCCAGGCGGGAGGCAGTGCTTGGAGCAGTTTAGCCTCACTTAGTTCATGCTTTGGTGCAGAAGGACCTCTAGTGTCCCTTCCCAGCTGATGCTTTGGCATCACTGCACTAGCTTGTTATTTCTTGATCTCGAAACTTTCCTACATACTGTGGAATGAGATATGATCCACAAAGTGCATGTAGGGGAGTGGCTGGGAGAGATAAGGCTGGGTTGCTCCTCCCTGGGCAGAAGTCAATTACTGTATGCCCCAGCCTCACCTTGCTTTGCTTCCATGGCTCCTCCACAGCCTTTTTTCTTCACCTCAGGTACTCCTGGTGCCTCTTTGTGCACCAAGGCTGCTCCATTTAAATATATTACATTAGATACTCCTCTCAGTAATGAATTTTCCACTGAAGTTCAGTGAACACCAGTGTAAATATGTAGATTCATGTTGTGCTTCTTGGGACTTTTGTAGAGTGCCCAATCAGAATCTCTGCTTAGTATTCAGCAGCATAAAATTCTCATAAGCAGGTCAAATTTAATTAATCAGTGGCAGCTATTAGGAATACAACAAAAGTGATCTTTTGTGTTTTGATCTGTTTCACACGGGTATCCCTTATTTCATTGTCAAGATTGTCCTGCATGCATCACTCCAGTGAGACAGTGTGGGAGGTGGGACAGGCAGGGTGGGCTTTCTGGGACAGAGGAAGCTCACAGGGTCTTTGAACGCGGGGGAGATTTAGCAGAAACTATGTGAGAATGGAAGCAGATGGCTTTTAGGTGCTGATGTATTTCCAAACCGAGCGTTTCTCTTGCGGTTTCGCTTCCCCCAGCCAAGCAGTCCCTCCGGGTTTGCGTGGGCTCTCAGTTGGGATACAACTGAGCAGCAGAGTAGGTCTCTCCACCCTCCACAGAGTGGACACGGGCGGGTCACTCTCCAAAGTGAATAATAAAGTCAAAGGGCGCATTCGCCACATGGAAGACCCCGGCATCCCTCCACCTGCCTTCTGCTTTGCCCTCTCCCACCCGGGCAGCAGCAGCTCCGCAGGCTGAGGAGAGCCGGGAGCTCAGCGGAGCCCAGTAGCTAAGCCTTTTCACCGCAGGAGTCAGGGTTTCCCAGCTCCGGGCTCCCAGGTATCGGGAATCCCTCTCGCTCCTCCTCCCGCTGCCGCAGCCCCTGATGAGTTTCGGTTTCCATTTCCCCGGCGCTGCCCGGGCACTCCCGAGCTGCCGGCGGGCCAAGGATGGCGAAGGGACGGCGGCAGCGGGGCCGGGGGAGCGGCACGGCAGGTAGGGAGCGGCGGGAGCGGCGCGGTGGGGAACGCTGGGAGACCTCCAGGGATGGGTCCGTGCAGGTGGAACCGCTGAAACTGCAATAATCCGCTGTGCTGCCCCTCGGAGACGGGACATGAGGGGCTCAAACGTGTCCCAGTGCGCAGCGCTCGGAGCGGGGGACTGGAAGGAGGACGAACATGCCGGGGAATAGACAGAGATATTCCTCTCTAGTTCCATGTCTGATATGTGAGAAGGGTGGGCAGCGAATCTCCAGAGGTGTTAGGTAAATCACGGCAAGCTTTGCTGATGACTGCCTTTCACTCTTGGACATCCTGAGTCTCAGACACTTGTGCTGGAGCAGAGCTACATGCGAGAAACTGAGTCCCTGGTGCCTCTAGGTCGGGAGAGCATCTGCATCCCCTCGGCTCTAGACAGGGAGGTACATCCGTCTGCTGTAAAGAGGCAAGGAGTGAATTTTCCATCATTGCTTCTTCAGCACCCTGTAAAGTGCTTGAGTCGAAGGCGTCCTATCCCCAAGGCTGTGACAAGCCTGGGGTGCCCAGATGCCTCAGGAAGTGCTTTGTCTCCATCAGATACTCTCCACAGGTGTACAAAACCAACAGACTGTGCTTCTGCTGATTTTTCAGTAGTTGTCTTGGGAGCAGGTGGCTCCCAAGGTCCTTTAGTGTGGAGTCATCCAGCATCAAACAAACCAGTGGGTAGGCAGGACACTGAAACCCTAAGAGGACTGAAAAAATTAGTCACACACAATTGTCTCACTTTCTCCTGAGAAGCAGAGGCTCTTGCTGAAAGCAGTAGCACACTGAGATCTTGGGAAGGGGTGGTTGAGGTGCCTGCTGCCACAGCATGACCATCATGTCTGTCTGTGCATGTCCTGCAGGGTGCACACAGTTGCAGAGGAATGAGGAGGTGCAGTGCTCAAACCATGATGCAACACATAAGCTCATTCTCTTCCCTAGCGGGAAGCTTTCTGAACACTGGGCTAAAGCTTCAGCAAACTGTCCCAAGACAAGGTAAGAAGCTTTCACAGAGTGAAGGTGTGGATGGCAATAGTCAGAAAATGCAGCCTGCTTTTCCCCAAGGTAACATCCCAGAGTTTAAGGCACGTTCCTGTTGTAGAGAGGGAACTGGAACACATATCTTCCCAGTAGCCAAAACTTTATGTTCTTTTTTAACCCAGCCAGAAGTGCACAGATTTTGAGGATGATACCAAGATCCGAGCTGCTTGGGATGCACATGAGACAGGTTTCTCTCAAACTTAGTAAGGATCAGTAGAACATACCAGAGCAATGCAGATGGCTTGCAAATCACCCATGGGAAAACTGCAGGTGAAAGACACAAGCATGTGTCACAAGTCTGAACCTTACCGCCTTCTGATGAAGTTGTGAGGGTAGCCATCATCTACAAATGGCCCAGCAGTTTGCTGTGTGACTTTCTTGTCCCAGGGCAAGATAACAGAATCAGGCTGAGCATGGTTCTTTTCCAGCTTCTTAGGAAGCAAACTACAACGAAATCAGTTAGCTCTGCTACAGCAGGTCAGCATAAGAGAAGGGTGAATCAGCTTACAGGTGACCTATATTCCACATATTTCCTGCTAAAAGCGATAGGGCTTGGTGAGCAGAGGATCTTTGTCATTTACTTTGTCTTGCAGCACAGCATCTCTTTATTTTGATTGTTTTTCCTTATTTTTCTAGGCTGGTGCAAGAACTGGGAAACCAAAATATTGTTCAAGTAGCGTGTGGGGACCAGCATGCCATGGCACTATCCAGAGGTAGCCTTTTTCTAGAACACTTTTCCTCCAAACAGGAGTCATGCTTGCTCTGAGAAGGCAGTGTTTGTACTACTTGCAGTAGTTGGTGACACCATTATAGAATGATGAGCAGTAGGGACACAAAGAGTACTGGCTGTCAGTGCTGCTCCTTCCTCCCAGCACACAGGGACCTGCAACTCTTTCCAGTTCCTGAGCACTGCCCCTCCACAAAGGTGTGTTGTGCAGAGCAGATGTGGCTGCCCCACTCTGCAGTCACCAGACCAGCTCATTCTTAACTTGCAACACCTTTCTGATTGGGAACTTCTTGCAAGTATGACTTTAGGGGCAAGTACTTCCTTGCAAGTATGATTCTTCTTGCTGTGCTGAGTCACATGGCAACATGGGACTGTCCCAAAGAGGTCAGAAGAAAACAAATTTGGCCACACATGATAGTCTTGCCTTGGAGCTAGGTCCCTGAAAACAGCACTGAGTTTTGCTCCTACTCCCAAAGTGCAAATACTCAAGAGAAGCAGCGAGGCTGAGCTGTTTTCTTTGGTTCTGTGTGTGAAGGGGGTGAGCTCTTCACCTGGGGCCAGAACACCCACGGACAGCTTGGAGTGAGGATCCAAACCACATTTACTCCCAAACCACAGCTGGTGGAAAGACTAAAGGGCATCCCACTTGCTCAAATTGCTGCCGGAGGAGCTCACAGCATCATTGTATCACTCTCTGGAGCTGTGTATTCCTGGGGAAAGAACAGTTTTGGACAGCTGGGACTCGGAGACACGAAAGGTAAGGAAGGAAATCACAAGGAGGGTGTTTTCTGGTCAGTGGGCTCACCAAATTGCTCCTCAGTATTGTCAAGTGCCTGTGGACAGTAAAGTCTTTTGAAGAAAGTATATCTGGATATGTTCTTTGTTTCGTGACCATGAAAGGCATGCAGGAACAGTGTATTTAGGGCTTGTTTTTCTATAGGAAACTTACAATCATTTTATGTGGCTAATTGGATAGTGTGGGCTCTTAAAACCTCTGAGGTCTTACAGGTCTATTTCCACTCCTGCCTTCTCTCCAGGAAGTCTTATGTGAAAGAAATTAATTTTATGTTTTTTAATCTTCTTTAATTCTTTGTAAACACAAAGCTAGAGAAGAATTTAAAACACCTTTTGTCTTCAGACTTAGAATGCTAGAGAGGAGTTGCACTAGACAGACAGAACATCTAATCTGAATGTGTCCACACACTTGGGAATCAGGTATTTTGAAGCCAAGTACCATTTGGAAAGCAGATATGAAAGTACTGCATTTTGTTTCAGACCAAAGTAAATGAAAATAAATATAAAAAAAAACAGAACATAATGAGAAAGAGTACGTTATCTTGGAGGGAAAACGACCCAAACCCAAGCTGTAGTTACATTAATTGCTGTAAGAAAGGTCTGAAAAGCACCTGTTTTCTAACTTCTTCTGTATATGAGATCCTCTAGTACTCTTTCAATTTAGCAGTGTTATCTTCTTTCCAGATAAGGACTGCCCAACATATGTTGGAGCTCTAGAGCACTGGAAGACTGTGTTTATCTCATGTGGGGCAGATCATACTGCAGTTCTCTCCAAGGTGAGTCTGAAATGGAAAGTCAGCATCTGAGACCTCACCTTGTGAGAAAAGATACACTGCTAAAAGTCAGTGTGGAGAAATTGGGATGGTAATGCCTGCTTCCACTTAAGCCTGAAGGTGGTCCCCAAGGGATGTTACCTAAGCTGTTGGGAAAACTGTTTTTTTCTCATATTCCTATCACCTGCAACCTTTTGCAGGGATATGGTGAATGGGAATACTGAGGGAAAGAGGTGCAGTTTAACTCCCAGTAGTTTCTGAAAACAAATTTTAATCGTACTTTGGGGACTTCAGAAGATGTGAACGACATCTAATTCACTAGGGTTTACTTGCATAAATAAAATTCTTAAGCAACAGGGAGTTATTCTCAAGAGTTAAATTGCTCTTTTCAGGAGCTAAATGATTTGGACCTTACAGTGTATGATTCAGCTTGATGCAAAGTGAACCCTCCTCATGTTTGAATCAGGGATATTTTGAATCAAGCCCCTTATAAGACATATCTTACTGGCTCTCATTCTTGGTTGTGACCAACAATTTGAGTGTAGTTAATAATGCAGTGATCCTGTTGTTTGTTTCTTCATTTCAAGGAGGGGCTGGTGTGCACCTTTGGAGCAGGAGGGTCTGGCCAGCTGGGTCACAACTCCACCCGGAATGAACTCCTGCCTCGAGTGGTGGCTGAGCTGTGGGGAGCAAGGGTTTCACACATTGCCTGTGGCAGGTGGGAAGTGCCAATAACTTGTCTTCTAAGGAGTGATGGAAAGGGGTGAAATGTACAGATGTCTTCTAAGGTCAATGCCTTAGGGAAATCAATGAATAACTGTAGGGAAGGGAGTCACCAAGATGTTCAAATCCCTGTATCACAATAGGTCAGTGCTGTCAGAGTATCCATCCACTGTGCAAGTATAAGCCAGAGCCCCAGTGAGAGCAGAACCCTCAGTCCCTGGTGAGCAGTGGGAGAGAGCTGCAAAAACCACCAGAAGCCCTTGATCTTTTTTAATAAATAAAAGTACTGGGTTTGTACTGGGTTCCAAAGGGCAAAGGACTGTCAAAAGCATGCATTGGGAAAGCCACTGAATTCCCATCCAGATTTCTAAACTGGTAGATTTTTAATAAGAATTGAAGAGCAGTGATAATTACCCAGTTTCACTTTGCCCTTCTGAAACTGGGCCAGAAAAAGTCTCCTGACAACTCACCTGGGCTTGGTATTTGGCTCAGCAGCACAGAAGCTGCACATTTGAAAACAGAAGAGTGTGAAGCAAGCATGGCATAGCACTATTTTTGTATATGGAACTGAGGTAAATCACAAACATCAGAGGATAGTATTGGAAATCTGAGCTCATAGGTGTCTTTATGGCTGAATGTTTATGCAATGAAGAGTTCTAACACTTTGGTTAAAGGGATTCTTTATCTCCACTGTCAGGACTTTAAAAGACAAGCTTCAGGTCTACACTCAGAAAATGTATTTGTAAATTTTATTCTGTTTTGCCCTGTGGTTTTTGCTTATTATGACCTTTTTTTTTTTTTTTTTTCCTGAACAGACAATACACTCTGGTCTATGTCCCTTCCTTGGACAAACTCTATTTCTTTGGTTCTGATGATGGACAACCGGAAGATGAGAGGAAGCCAAATCAGTTGATACCACTTCCCATCAATTCACCAGGGAATACTGGAAAATCCTGCCAGAGTAATGACCACTGCAGATGTATACAACCTGTATTTATTTCTTCCATGGAGATGTTTGCTTTCTTGATTTCATGTTTACGCTGAAAAGCAAACATTATCTCTCATGCTTGCTTGGCCATCCCAACAAATTCTACCAGGAGTTACTCCATTTGCTGCTTGATTATCATGGGTATTAGCCTCATAGAATCAAACTTTCAACAGATAATTACTATCTGAAGGGTTTTTTTACTGTTCCACTTTTGTGCACTTAACTCTCTGCAGATGACTGTCTCTTCAAATGTTCCTACGACAATCTTTTTCTTCTTTCACAGAAAAGGATGTATCAAAAAAAGGGATTAAAATTACTGCAGGGATAAACCAAAGTTTTGCCCACTTCAAGGAGAAGGTATGTGCACACTTGATCATAGCTTCTGATTTTACCACTGTCCACATTACTGCTGGAAACATTTGGATTTTCCACTGTGCTTGTAGCACTTCAATTTTATGTATGTCTGTTGTAGTTTTTTCTGTGCTTTACGTACAGACTAACTTGTATTGCAATTATATATGTTCTGTGGTTAATGCATGTGGATCATGCTGGATGACCATTGGTTTGTTCATACTTAGGCTGAAATTTTCTTGTAATGATTGGATTAAAAAAAAAGAATCCCATTTGCTACAATTTTAATTTTGTCTATGTTTTCATGTATTTCACACAGAATTCATATTGGAGCAGAATTGCCACTCTGGAGGATAAAGAAGTGGATGCATGGGTTTCTAATTCTAAATGTCGTAAGAGTATAAAAAAGTAAATCAGAAACTTGCTGTTTGGGTTTGTTTGTGTTTTTTTCCCCTGATACATGATTTTCTCCAAAAATTATTACTCTTTGGAGGCTATTGTAGGAACTGTTGTTCAAGAATTTAGCCAAGGCACAATCTTGTACCCGGGCACAAAGCTGATGAGGAGCTGACAAGTTGAATCTGTGAAAGATCCTGAATGCATACCAAGGCCTTGTGCAAAAAGCCTAATCCAGAGTACCCAAACTGGAATGCTGTGACAGCATTTAAAAATTAGTGGTCACTTCTTTAATTACCCATTTTCAAAAGCAATGTGTATATTCCACTGTGGGTTGCCTTACATTTATAGTCTTTCTCAGGTTTTATATGGGAGATTATTTTCTTTGGGAAAGTCTGGCTCCAGCTTCTGATTTTGAGCATTTTGAAAGCTTGGCTAGCTTGGAACTAAATATTTTCCTGACCAGAATGGTTTGGATCATGTGAAAAGTGGTGGTTGAGAGGGTGAAGGAGAGAGTTCTTTCCAGATCTCAGTAGGAAGGGCCTGACAGAAAATTACTTGATAAAATAGCTGCCTCAATAAGAACAGGATCAGGAATACTGGGAGTGAGTAAGTCTGATGTCCCTTCTGGCCCTGGGAACCCAGCTTTTGTGCAGCAGTAAATTGATAGCCTGATGGATTTTCCCTCCACGTGCTACAAAGATCCTGTCTGTGGACGGGATTCTCCTCCTTCCCATGTTGCAGAGCCTTTTATTCTGCATAACAAACAAAAGCAGCTAATGTCTGACCTGTCAGGAGAAGAATGGCCATGATACCACAACTAGAATGGAGTGCTGGCTGGCACTGGAGCAGGTTCCCTCACAAGGCCCAAGAGAGCAGATGTGGCTTGCCAAAGATCAGTAACTCCTTGAGTACAATGTCTTCTGCAACACTGACAGAGAAGTGGTGCTAAGAAAAGTTTTGTATGGTCAGGTGCAGATGCCCTTGTACACATTTTTTTGTTTGAGAGTTGAAGAACTGAACCTGAGAACCTGAACTTGACAGGACTGACTTTTTGGTTTTTTACTATCAGAAACATCAGACTGATTTTTTCATCTGAGGCTTGCATCAACGGAAGTTTCCTGGACAAAAGGTAGCACACACTGACTTAGATAATCTAACAGAATATATTGGCTGCATGTAAACTGACCAGAAAGTGTTATTTTAGGTCACATATGTAGTAAAGATTTGTTTATCTGGATTTGCAAGAAGCAAGTCTTTATTTTTCGAAGTTCAAGCTAATATTAAGATTTTTATAACCCTGGTCCTACTGAAATGTGCTAGAGAGCTCACATTTTAGATTATCCTTTGGTGACATTTGGCAGATGATGATAACCCCTCCAGGCAATATTACAGCTCTCAAAGAATCCTTAATAGCTCCTTCTGGCACTGAAGTGGAAGTAATTTTAGGGTGAAATATAGGAGTCTACCATTAATAGTTCACAGCCACACAAGACAGAAAGGACAGGATGTTAATCAGGTCACAAAACAGTGGCTTGTGTTGTCTATCTTCTTAGAATATATGAAATTATACCCAGGGGAGCTGGGGCTGAACTTTCCAAGTATTTTCTGATATTACAATGCTTCATTATTCAGTAGAAAAATTATTTAGTGTTGTTTTTTTATTTTATGTTGTGATAGAGACAAACATTTCAAAACTTCCAAAGAAGTCTCAGGCATAGACATATCAGAAGTGAAACGTTTTTATGAGAAGATCAGTAAAAACCAAACAGTCTATCAGGAGGTAAGAATTTGATATAAGGATGCTGACTATACAGATACTGAGGAGCTTTGGATTTGTGCATGAAAATTAGGAATTTCATGCCAACATAATTGCTTTGGCAAAATATAATTGCATTTTAAACCTTGTATCTTTTTTTTTTTTTTCCCCTCCAAAGGTGCAACAGACGATTCTGAATTTACTGGCATCATTGTCTCCCTCTCTCATCTCACCTGAAAATTTCAGAGTCTACTTGATCTTGCCTTTCCTTCTGAATGGGAAAGATATAGACTCTTTCCCTTCTCTGATTCTTCTGGCTCAAGCCATCATGAAGCTCCAGCCAGAGGGCCTGCAAACTCTTGGTAGGGTTTTATGATGGTAGAACTGAATGATTTAAATGCTTGGTCATTTTCTGCTGCAGAACAAGTGTTATTATCACTGTTGTAATATGTTCCAGAGCTTGAAATAATTGCTTTTGATAGACATAGAAACATGGGGACTATGCAGCAAGGCACAAGAATTTAAAGAATTCTATATGTGGTTTAGTAGTTCTTGTAGTGCAAGTTTAAACTTTATTTTTTTGCTTAATTTATTTGATAGAAAGAGAAAAAGCAGCTTCATCCACAAATTGCAGTGATTTGTATACTACCTGTGACCTCACTAGCTGTTTTTTTTTTTTACAGAATGCCTATGGGCAAACCTAGAAACATCCTTTTTCAAGGAGCTGGTCACTGTCTATCAGAGGGTTTCCCAGAAAATCCTGTTTCAATTTGTCCTGGACTGCAAAGCCATTGGACCAAGCTGGCTCTTCAACCTGGACCCAACTGAAAGTGCACCTCTGCAAATACTGCAGATGCTTTACCAGGTGAGCAAGTGCTTGGATCCTGATTAGACAGGGTGTCTCAATGTAGTTTAGAGTATTTTAATACTCACTTGTTCAGTTCTCTGGGTTTGACACTGCTTCAGGAATCTCTTTGGCTCTACACCAGCACAGTTTTGAAGGAGTTCTGCTTGAGTTCTTCCAAACTAAGTCTCCATAGAAATGAAGAGTTGAAGCATGTTATAGTCCCTGGCAGGGGGAAGAATGCTTTCAGTGGTGTCAGGAGTGCATCCATTGATGCCTACACAGCTATGGATGTGGTTTCCTCTATGTAATGTACCCATTCCCCTTTCTGCTGGTACGATCCCTCACCCCAGTAACTGCTCAGAGTATTTAAAAGACAACCTATCTGCTGGGCACATTGTGGCTGCCACAGTAATGCTCTGTGATGCTTTAAGAGCCTGGAAACCAGACAAATTCTCTGGGATAACAGCATTAGAACCTCCTTAGCTGCACATGAACAAGGGAAACAAAGCAAAAATGGTATTCTTCTGGACAACCATACTTTCTTCTGTGGAGATGATCAAAGTTCATGAAGGTCAAGTGCTCATGCACACAGTATAAATCAGAGAAACTTGTTAAATTTTGTTCAGATTTGAATATCCTTTTGGATGAGAATGCAGAATTTGGTCTCAAAGTTTAGACTCTCAAATCTGTATTTATGCAGATAAATAAACTCAAAAATGCAGCAGGCCTACTCTTCTCTAAGTGATTACGAGATTTGGAACTTTTCACTGTCCCACTGCAAGTATCTTTTCCAGACAACAAGTAGGAATCGCAGAAACATGAAAGACACTCCAAGGGAAATATACTTTTCCTGATGGAATCCTGTTAAGGGATCTTAATTGTAAATGAAAATTGCTTCCCTGCTAGTTCATGGCCATACATGGCTTCCTAAGACTTCTCATTGTGGAGCATTGTGCTATTTGTAGCACTTTTATCACTTAACTTCTGTACAGGGTCTCAGAGCCCTTTCTGAAGAAAGCCCTGTGTCTTGGTTTGAAAAGACAGGTGTCTGCTAAGGAAGGCAGGAGCCTCCCTTGAAATGGAAAATATAATCCCCCTCCCTCTGAATTATTACAATTTTGAAATTAAGGGGCTCTCAGGCAACGATATAGGATTAGGAATAACAGTTCTTTACTAGTATGTATAAATAAAAAAACACCAACAACTTAATAGAAAAATTAAAATAAAATGCAGGTGTACAAAAAGTACAGAGTCAGAATACAACCTGACACCCTTTTGGGCAGGGTGTTGGTAGCAGTCCGATTAAGTGGTGGCTGCAGTCGTCCTAGAGTGACAGATGTGGTTCTGTCGAAGCAGTGATCCTGTAGAAGGGTGTTGTTTTCCTCTGAAGGTCCAGTGGTGGCAGAGAAGGGTCTGGTCTTCCTCTGGGAATCCAGTGGAGAAAGGCTGCCTGTGCTGTTCTAAATCTCAGAGTGTATCCAGGTAGGAATGCTTGGCTCCTCCCCCTGGGTGGAGCATCTCACAATGGCATGATGTAATTTTATCAGTCGTGCAGTGAGACTCAATGGCCCATTGACAGAAGATCTCTGCCTGGAGTTATGAGGGATGGGTCATGGAAGAGATAAAGGACACTGCCCCACCTGGTTTTAACAGATGGTAATAGAATATATCCTTTTGGTTACATCTTGCATTGCAACCTAAGACACCCTGTCAGTCCTGTACTGCCAGACAGACACAGCTCACCAGTTCTGCTGCTGATATATTGCATGTTTCAATGCAGGTGAATTCCAGAACTGGTTTCAGAGTACATGAAAACGACTTCCATGTACCTGAAGTGAAAAAGATTATCAACTTATATTCGTCCTTCAATATAGTAGTAAGTATAAATCTCACCAGCAGTGTGAAACTCTCTTTTTTCTTTAATTTAAATTGTTTATATACATATATATATATACATATATATACATACATATATATATACATATACATACACACACACACACACACATATATATATGGATGTCAACTCTGGAGACTAACCCAGCACATCTCAGACATTTCATTTTCCCTAGTCCTCCAATGCTCTAAATCATGCAGGCCCTTTACCATCCCAGTGCTCCAGCAGCTATAATAGAGCCTTTCCTGAGATGATCCCTGGTTCTTAAGAGTTGGAGCTGCTCTCCAGCATCTTAAGGAGCTCTGTTTGCTTTGAACTAGTAATCACTGTGAAATAGCAGCAAGAGGGATGGTTGCTATACTTTGTGTTACTCTGGATTTTATTATGTTTAATTAAGGTAAATATTTTGAGGTATCTTTATTTATTTAGAAACCCTATTGAGCATTTCAATGTACTTACATCTTAAAACAAAGCCGTGGTAATAAAAAATAATCTGTGGTATTTCTTGATGACACAGAGTGAAAGTTAGCTACCAAATGCAGTCAATGTCAGAGGAAGAAGTATGAAATGGAAATGTGCATAGTAGGGGTTTTCCTTGGCAAAATAAAGTAAGCTTTCTTGCTACTTGGCTGGAATTTTTAGGGCAACTGCCTAATCCCTTCCTAATTCCTAAGCTTTTGTTTGCTAATATACCAATTTTGTACCAATTAACCAGAGTGGAGGAGGACGTTTGAGAAACAGCATAGAATCGAAAGCCAATTAAGACATTACCTGAAGTTGCTGTCTTATAACGCTGGAGGTGTAACACTTAAAATTAGATTATTTTTAGACCAGTATCTATTTTTGGTAACCCAGCAGTTTTTAAAAACAATATACCATAACCTGAGTATCCAGGACATTTTGGTTTAGCTGAATTAAGGAAGATGCTGTTAAAATAACTCTCTGTTTTATTCTTGAGGCACTACTGTAGACAAGTGTCTGTCTGCCCAGAGAGGTTTCTCTCTGCTTCTCACTCACAGGAGTGTGCAGAAGCTATTTTTAGGACGTGAACCTCTGTTAGTGCAGTGCTCATGCATACAAGGGCTCATTTCAGAGACATGGGATTTTCCTAGGGTACAGACTGGCAGTTCAGTCTGCACACATGTCCCTGAACTCTGGTTTCACAAGGGAAAATCAGCACGTCTTTTCCTTTCTTCCTTGTCCTTTCAGACAGTCCTAAGGAAGCTGAGCAAGTACCCATGCATCTTTGACAGAATGAACAGGATCCACCTTCACAGAACAGAATGCAGGGCTCTGTCCAATATCTCTCCTGTAAGTACAGCCAATTTTGTTACCAATTAGAAGAGATAAACACACTGCTAACAGACTATTACTTCAATCCTCAGATACCCCTTATGTGGATCGCTGAAAAATGGAAATTTTGCATCAGAAGACAATGCCTTCTGCAAGACATATGGAAAAATTTAAAATCCGCCTCAAACCAAGATTTCAGGAAGATGTTAGAGGTAAGATATTAAATTGTATTACTTGTTAGCTCTAAGTATCTTGCTGCAGTGTTCCTTGATTTTCAGTGTTGGTAGAAAGGTTTCAGTATCCTCTAAGCATACAACAAGAGAACTGCTCATTAAATTATTACAAAACATGTTCCATAGACGGTGTAGAGTAAATCCGAAGGCCAATATTTTACATCCTTATGCCAGGCAGCTTTGTTGGCATAAGTTAAATTCAAGTGGAAGTGCTATGGGGTGGCTGTGAGGTTGCTTTGGGGTAACGGAATAGAATTGCTCAGTTGTCAAAGTCCAGTACTGTTGCTGCTAGACTGACTTTAGAGACTTTATACTAGTACACTAAAACCCCAGTGTCTGGGGAACCAGCCTGAGGGGTCAGCAAACAACACAGCCACACAATGACATTTCTCTCATGGAGATCCTGTCAGAAGGGAAAGGAAGGGTACTGCTGGCCAGAGAGATGAGCATCTGATTATAATGCTGGTGTCTCCATGTGCCTCCTCCGTGGCTTCCACACTGGTTCTGAAGGCTGTGTGGCAGTTGTGTTTCCCACAGGAATTGTGATGCTGGCCCTGCCCTGCAAAAGCCATTAGCTGGCTGATGTGGAAACAGGAGACCTGCCCAGAGCAGAACTCAGCTCAGGGACCACGTGCCCCACCTGTCACTAACACAAAGCCTGGCACCACGTGGTGCCACAGGAACCACGGACCTTGGTGCCCTATTATTCAGTTCTGGTGCTTTCCAAGTGACCTTTCTTGTCAGCCAGAGCTGTCAAAGCTTTTCTTTCCCATTTACTCATCTTAGGAGAAGATTCACAATGGCTCCCAAAGCTACCTTTCCTTCCTGCTTCCTCACTACACCAGCTGAGAGAGGCATTTATTTACAGAGTCGCAGTGAGGGTGTGCTTTGTACTGTCCTCTAGATTTCGAGTCTCCACCGACTGTACAAACTCTGACAAACAGCTGTCCTTAGCTCAAGTCAGCCTTTGCTCTTGTGAACACTGCATTTCACATTGTGCATCACAATATTATTTACCTAGCAGCAGCCTGAAAAGTAAAACCACAGTTAGTATCCCACAACATTTACAGCCTCGTGCAGTATTTACAACTTGGTGCTTCATTGCAGCAGGTAAAGGACACGAATGTGTTTTATGTTGCAGATACAAACTATCCAAAAGCAAAACATAAAAAACCCCTTTCATTGTAGCCTTGACCTGCACCCTTCAAAGCTGTGTCCTGTTAGAAAGTTTTTTAGACAATACTGAGAACTTGGCATGTGGCACTCTCATCGTGGCCCTAGAAAGAAAAGATCTGCAGGTACTGCACATATAGACATGGATATCATCCAAGAAAGAAATGTCTTCATTTGACTCATCTCAAGTTTTGTTATTAAACACCAGCCTGATTTATTTTAATTTTTGGTCTTCTGACAGTGAGACAAACATATTTCAGTACACACATCTGGTTAAAAAACCCCAAAGCTCTCAAACAGAGATTCATATCACGTTTTAATTTTAATTTGGTTTATTCAGTCAGAGTACAGTTCTTCCTTATGAAAACTAAGGTTTTAATTAGTGCCACTACAAAGGCACAGCACTCTTGAAGGGATAAAACAGAGGAAATTAGTGCTTCTTATTACTCCTACTCTTCATCTGCATTAGCAGTAGTTAACAATGGGCTGCTACTTCATACAGTTCCAGATCCTACCAGAAAAATTATGCCAGTCACTAAGTGCCAGAATGAAACTCTCTCAAATGAACTGCAATACTTGATTAGATTAAACAAATTATGTCGATTTAGAGAAGCCCAGGGGTTAGCAAAGGCATCAGACTAGTTGTGGCGAAAAAGCTTAATCCCCATCCAGGTCCACAGGTGAAAGAACACATAAACTGGTACTGTAACAGGAAGGAGGAGGCTGTAGAAACACAGGCTGGTTGTGCTGGTGCAGCCCTGGGGGAAAGTTTCGTCTACGCTGGCCGAGTAGAACAGGCCTGCCAGGGACAGGAGGGGAACGAGCACAGTCAGCGTGGGCAGGGAGGGCAGCAGCCCTGCTCCGGCCATCAGGCCCCGTTACCGCCGTGCCCGGCGGTTCCTCAGGGCTGCTCCGAGCCCTCGGCCGGCGGCTTCTTGTGCGTCATCCTGGCAGCCTCCGGAACCATGTTCGGGATGCCGTCGATGATGGGGTACGCGATGCCCAGCTCCTCGTTAATGAGCTCGTTCGTAGCTTCCTCGTACCTGGCCAGCCAAGCCGGGGGGGGGGGGGGG